TTGCCGCCCTCTCTTCGTCGATTGTAAGAAATGACCTTTCAACGAGCGGCAGCGCTGTCACCTTTTTGCCCTTGTCCCAATAGAACTCAATAATAACACCCGGAATAGCTCGGTTAATCGGCTGAGTAGTTAGCTCAAGTATGACGAGTTCAAGGGAGCTTCAGCTAGATATCAATGTAACTTCATTAGGTAGCTCGCGCAGGCAGCTCAGGGCACATGTCAACCTGGTTAGAGGACTTAGGGGCCGAGCTACTCCATTAGCTCTGACAGATGAAGGGAAGCGACGACCTAAAGGTCACATAAGTAAAGGTCGGGCTTTCAAACTAGTAAGAGTCCATGGCAGGTGAGTCGTGAGGAAGCTAAAAAAATTTTGGGACCTAAGAGCCGGATGGTAAGAGGGGACAGAATCCTACCAAGGATGGTAAGCATATCTCACTAAGGAGTCTTAGATTCTAGAGACGTGTTATGCTAAGAAAGACGATATGACATCATCTCTTTCCTAGCAAGGACTCTACTTGTGCAGCAAGACACCCTGGTATATAAGGGCGTCTCCAATGGTTGGCTATTTGGCTAACTATTATGACGTGGACAAGGGAAAAGTAAGAGAGAGAGTAGTCACTAGCTACTAACAAATAACTTATCTATTTCACGTAGCCCAAGATTATGTGAGAGGAGTACATGGGTCCAATAGTGTAAAATAGTTATTTTTCTTATCTCTCACATCCACATCAGCTGACCATATAGCTTTTGGAGATGCCCTAAGGGTGACTAGGCTTTACTTTTACACTATGCATTATCATAGCTTTTGCATACAATTTAAAATATTCTTACGAATGAGTACTGATTTGAGCGTTGGAGGTTTTTCCGCCAAGACCCCTCTTTGGCGTGGTTACAGGTCATCGGAGCTTGAAACGAAGGATTGTTTGTGGTGGAGCCCGTTTAATCCAGTTCAGGAGCAATTTTCCTATCACTATTGTTAAACAAGTCTAACAAATAGTCATTCATAATTATTTAACAAATTTAAGTACTTTTTAATTATGATGTCATACTTTTCAAAAAAATATAAAAAAACTATGAAAGAAGTATGTCCCGTCGAAATTAGTTGTCTCATACAAGAATTTATGATACGAAATTGGCTATCAACCAATTACTAGCTCGATTAGCACAACACAACACAATACAACACAATACTTTTTTACATTTAAATTTGTGTACTCATTCTAAGATATTTGCGTTTTAATTTTCATTGATATATATTTCAATTTTATGATTTTAAATAATTTTTCATTATTTTTATTTTACTAAAATATATGTTCTAAATCCATTGATATGTAAACAATAAAATTTTTATTAATAACAAACATATTTTCTAAAATAAGTTCAATATTTTCGTTTATTGTGCTTGTCATGTTGTGTCAAGTCTCCATAACTTATCGTGTGATGTTATATTTGCACTTAAAGTTTTTGGCGCATTATTATTATTATTATTATTATTATTATTATTATTATTATTATTATTATTATTATTATTATTATTATTATTTTTATTGTTATTAGTATTATTATTATTATTATTATTATTATTATTATTATTATTATTATTATTATTTATGTCAAATGATATCACTACAAGCATCTTTCTTTTTTCTCTCTCTAATTTTTTTCTCTCCCTAAAAACAATCGTTGCCTCTGACCACAATGCCTCTGTTAAAAATGTTATTAAGAGTGCCTTTGACCACTCTATGTTATTACTTGATAATGGTTCCCACCAGAAGTTATTCAAAAGGAGATTTAGCTTTGATAAGAGATGGCTATCTATGGAAGGTTGTTCAGAGGTTGTTAAAAAGGCCTGGTCAGAACCACACTTGGGAACTCCATTCTTCATTTTACA